GCCTACAGTTTGCTTCAGGCATTCAAAGTGTGGCCTGGCCTGGGAATGGTGTTCTGGAAATGGATTCCTAAGGATTCCTAAAAATTCCGAAGGATTCCTAAAAATTCCTGGGGCTGCACTTTTGTCTGGTTCCTTGTCCGGATCCCGCCCAGACCCCCTTGGGGCGTCAAGATGCTCTCTTTCGATCCCACTAGAAACCTATCAGCAAAAGCTGTTAGGTAAAAACAAGGATTGGAGCCAGTCCCGTGGGCTTCTGGGGCCTTTTGCTCCTGGAGCCTCGTGGGGGTTCCTGAAGCCTTCCGGGGCCTCCTGGTGCCTTCAGACGTTTCCTGTGACCTCCTGTTGACTCCTGTCGCCTCCTGGGGCCTCCTTGTGTTTCCTGGGGCGTCCTGGGGTTTCCTGGGGCCTCCTGGGGCCACTTGTGGCCTCCTGGGGCGTCCTGTGGCCTCCTGTGGCCTCCTGTGGCTTCCTGGGGCCTCCTGTGGCCTCGTGGGGTCTCCTGGAACCCGGCGGGGCCTCCTGAGGCATCCTGAGCCCACGAGTCTGGCCAGCAAAATAAGCAAACCGCTCGCGACGTCCTCACAATATGGGCCACGAGGGGTGCGAGAACCACCGCCTCGCCCGAAACATAATTCAAATATGTTCCGACTGTCGAGGATATTGAGAACCAAAACGAGCACGCCGCTCGAGACATCCCCGCCGTTTCGGCGCGAACAATGGAATGCGATGCCCCTCTGGCGGCCCCTTTTGGAAATGCTGACGCCCGCGCCTCGCTAAGGACATCCTTTTGAATCAGCTCCGAAAGCGGACGATGTTGGGAACCAAAACAAGCATTCCGCTCGAGACATCCCCGCAATTTTGGCGCGAACGGACGAATGCAATACCCCCTGGCGGTCCCCCTTTGGGGGTGCTGAAACCTGCGCCTCGCTCGGGACATCATCAGAAATGGTTCCGCCATCGTCGTCGTCATCATCACCAGCATCATCATCATCACCAGCATCATCATCATCATCATCATCATCATCACTGGCATCGCCACCACCATCACCATACCATAACATGATATGACATAGGAAAACGCAACATAACGTACCATAGCAAAACATAGCACACCATGGCGTGTCATATCATACCATTAACATAGCATAGTTAACGAAACATAGCACCACGTGTCAAAACATGACATCACATCTGGGGGTGACCCGTGGAGAGGAGAACGGAGGTGAGCGGCGCCCAAACCTCGATCGTCGAGGCGCGCACTTCGACGTGGACCTCCTGCGCGGGTACCCCTACAAGTGTCAGCGTACGCCGCCCCACAAAGCCACCGTTTTCGAAACATTAAAGAAGCGGGCCCTGAGGAAAAGTCGTGGATTCCGAAGAATCCCCCGCAGACCCGATGACCAGATCTTCATCATGAAAATTTCTTTCAAAGGTCCCATGACCCAATGAAACGCCCCAGTAATCCGATGACGCCAACATATTTTCGCAACCAGTGCAGGAGACGCCTCATCCCGCCCCCGCCGCCCCCCGCCGCCCCCCTTCTTGCCTCACCCTTCCACCCCTCCCCCCTCCTCCCTCACCCTTTTCTGGTGTTGCATGCACCCTTCCTTCCCTCCTACGCCCGCGTAAACGACCACTCACCCCTCTTTTTTTGTTGAAGCGCCAACGCAACATTGGAACCGCGCAAAATAACAAACCGAACAAGCCCGGGACAACGCAGAACCTGACCTGGGATAGGCGAGCCCACGCGTGCAACCGCGGCACGGGGGAAATTGGCAGCGACGTGGAGTGACCGCAAGGGTGGCCCAAGCGGCCGAGGGCATCAGCCGCGCTTGTAGACACCGAGGAGGACTGATATTATACATGCACGACACCTGGACTAATAAGGAAAGCGAACGTCGCCACGAAATTCTCGCCTGCGTTTGCCAGGCAACTCCAGACACGAAGGGGGGCTGAGAGCTGCAGGGAGGAGGGTGGAAGGAACGCAGCCAAACATGACAACATGCGAGGAAACGGGGCCTCGCGGCTGGGGGGGGGGGGCGAGAGGCGCGGAGGATGCATCGCCAAGAAGACGGGGAACTGGAGGAGCACACGTGAGATGAGAGGCATGGAAGGAACGCAACACAAAATGCGGATAAACAAAAAAAATGTGAACAACTTTTGCAATCGAGCGAATCTGCGGCCCTCGTCCAACGCCGCCTTCGCTCCCATAAAATGAACCTTGGTTTCGGCGGACCTCGGGCGGGTCACTCCCAGGAATCCATCTCGCCGCGGCACTCCGCCTGGAGCAGTGCTGAATCCTAGGCCATGCCTCGCCACTCGCGCGAGAAAGGCGCCGCGATCCGCTCCTGCCGCGCAGAGCGCAAAACCGGAAGATAGCAGATCCAAAAAGAGTGCCAGTGCGATAGCGCAATGCTGGGGGCGCCCGGCTTCGATGCGAAATGTCTGGCACTGAGAAACCACCGCAATGATAATGCGAGGCTGGCACGACATGTGGGTTTGGGACATTGAGCAAGCTGCTTCCGCAAGCCTTTCAAACAGATATCATTAAAAGAAGGCGATATGACTAACTGCTGTTGGTCAGATGCGAGAAAACGGGCTCGTCATCCGGCTCTGGGGCCACCAGAATTGGATCCTGAGCAAGAAAATACCACAGGAAAGGGGGACCCGAAGATCCGCTTTCCACCAGTCCACTAACCCCTCCTAGGCGCCCCCCCAGGTCCCAGAGAACGAGGACGGGCGACGCTGCACCACCTCTGCTGGCAAGGCCGTGGGGTTGCGGAAAAGCAACCCTCCGAATAAACAGCCAAGCTACTGCCATAAGGAACGCCAGATAAGTAACGAAGCTCTTGTGGCCCCAAAATCGCTTAGAAGCACCAGGAGCGCTAACAGAACAACCATGGCAAAACCTGAGGAACAAAGAACCCCTTCCAGACCCGAACTGCTTATTACTTCAGCGTCTTGACTGCAGTCCTGGCTAGCCCCTACATCGGCTGCACTCAGATGCGACCTATGGCGCCAAGAATGACCTATACCGGTGCGCCGGGGGCGCGGATGCGCCAAACCCAGGCGCAGGACGCAGCTATCGTATCGCGCTCAGCGATCGGGGGACCCCAGCGGGCCCAATGGAAACCGCGACCCCCTGGACCTGAAGCCCCCTCTCTCGACCTCTCCTCGATTCTCCTGGCCGCACGCAGGAACGATTCTATGCAAGAGCGTGCAAGAGCGACGCTCGGTGCCTGGCTTGAGGGGGCCGCGGGGGAGTCAAATCCAGGCGCGCATGCCAGTGTCGGGGGGATGCCTGTGGGCCCGCGAACAACAACACAATCATTACTGCATCCTCGGGAAAGCCTGTGTGTCCCGTTGCGCCGGTAGTCACGACGAGTCCGCGTCGAATCAGTGTCGAACTCGTCGAATCCGAGTCGAACCCGGGCCGAATCCGTGTCGAATCCGCATCGAGCTCGCGTCGGGCATAGGAACAAGCACAAGGCTTGAGGACAAACAACGCCCCCCGAAGATGCAGCGTGGACAGAGATTGCTGCGGCGAGGGGTCACACGTGCAGTCCACGACGGCCCCCCCCAGGAGCAGCCCGGGGCAGCCTCGTCATCCAATCCCGGGACACGGGGCGCGCCTTTGCGCGGTGTCACTAGCGGCCCTGGCCAGCCAGCTCGGGCCAGCCAGGACTACCCCTGAGGGGCCCTCTGCGCTCAAAATCGGCCAGAATCGAACGGGGAAATCGGGTTGAATCGGCATGTGCACTGGATCCGTCTGCTTTGGCACGCAGTCGAGATTGGATCGAATCGGCCGCGCAGGGATGCAAAGCAACGCCCTGCACACATCGGGCCGCATCGGATCGTCGGAGTATAGGAATCGGATCGGATCGGGCCTGCCAGACTCGATGTCGAATCGGTTTGATCGGATCAAAACGAGCCCTGATGCGCTATCCCAAACCTCGCCGCCTCCTCCAGAAGTCTCCAGAGGCCCAGGAGGAGCCAAAGAGCGTCTCAACGGGGCCCTGCCACGAGGATGGACCGTTTCCCCAAGACCTCCGAGATGCTAGCGTTGTGACGACTTCCCCAGGGGTACGGCAAGTTCGTGTCGTTCGACTTCGGCTTCGGAGTCCGACCCTGCGTAGATCGTTCAATCTTGAACGATGGCGGCTTTCTGATGGCGCGGCTCACATTTTGATCTGCAGGGCGAGAGCGAACCTCTTCCGCTGAAAGCTAAGCGGGACGCGCACAGCTTGAATTAGCAGAGAAAGGGCGGAAGAAGGCGGGGCCTCACGCGGCCGGGAGAGGGCGAAGCCCAGGGATCAGGCGATGGCGCGGATCACACGATAACGGCCGATTCTGGGCCACTGACGGCGTTCGACCTTGAACGCCCACGCTGGGGCCGCCGCCGCGCCGACACGACACTCGGAGCAGGGCCAATTGAGTCAACAGCTGCTCAAATCCACTCGAAATGTGTCCTTGGACCCCTCCCGTGGTTCGTCCCGACCCGGCTTTCAAGGCGGATCCAGCCGTGGCGACAAGTCTCCATGAGCCCCCGAGAAACACGAAAAACGCCAGGGAAGACCGCCGCTCTCTCGACTGGCCCTCCTCCGAGACACAAACCCACCGCAACCCGGAACTCCGAGCAGGGCGAGTTGAGACAACGGCAGCTCTTCATCGGTCCCCCGACTTTTCCTGGGGTCCAAACGTACCAGTTTTCCGAGCTGCGCCCAGCCGTGGTGACGAGGGGGCTCTCCGAAGGCTACCACTGTTCCACCTCCCCAGACATCCGATGTCTTGTTTTTTCAATCCAGAAGTCCCGACCCCTTCCTGAGGGCCCGTTTTTCATCCCGAGTACTCGTGTGACGGCCCAGGGGCCTGGCGGGGGCAACGAGAGGCCGAAAGCGGCCGACGACCTTCAGTCGCGATTCTACCACGTTCGCGAACATGTCTAGGTCGCCGTCCTCTGAATAACCCCACCTGGCACTGCCTGGCCCCCCCCCGGCAGCCTGGCCCAGGGTGCTCACCGTGACGGGGCTGTCCGCCACGTCAGACCGACGCTGGGCGGCCGTGGCCAGGCTCTCCGCCCACTCCGGCGGCGGCACAGCGCCGCCTCGGCCAGCGGCGGCGGCGACGACGACGGCGAGATGAGTATAGGATGGGGATGACGACGATGATGATGCTGCAGCTGACGCTGATAATGATGATGACGATGGCGACGATGACGATGATGATGGCGATGGTGATGATGGCGATGATGGTGGTGATGAGCGTGGTGATGATGGTGATGCTGGTGATGGTGATGATTACGATGATGGTTTTGCTAATCATGGTGGTGATGATGGTGATGACGATGGTGATGACGATGGTGATGATGATGGCGCTAACGATGATGATTGTGATGATGATGGCCGTGAAGACGATGGTGGTGATGATGCTGACGATGCTGATGCTGATGTGATGATGATGATGGTGGTAATGATGATGATGGTGATGGTTACGATGAAGGCGACGATGACGCTGCTGATGATGATGATGATAACATTGGTGTCAATGATGCCGATTATGATGATGTTGATGATGGTTTGAATAGTTTGGATGCTGATGGTGATGGGTATGTTCATGGCAACGATGACGATGATGATTGCGATGATGATGATGGCGATGATGGTGATCATGATGATGGTGGTGATGATGGTGATGATGGTGGTGGTGATGATAGTGGTGATGATGGCGGTGGTGATGATGATGGTGATGTTGGTGATGGTGATGATTACGATGATGGTTTTGCTTCTGATGTTGGTGATGATGGTGATGACGATGTTGATGATGATGGCGCTAACGATGATGACGGTGATGATGATACTGGCCATGAAGACGATGGTGGTGATGATGCTGGCGATGCTGATGCTGACATGGTGCTGATGTGTTGATGATGATGATGATGGTGGTAATGATGATGATGGTGATGGTTACGATGAAGGCGACGATGACGCTGCTGATGATGATGATAACATTGGTGTCAATGATGCCGATTATGATGATGTTGATGATGGTTTGAATAGTTTGGATGCTGATGGTGATGGGTATGTTGATGGCAACGATGACGATGATGATTGCGATGATGATGATGGCGATGATGGTGAACATGATGATGGTGGTGATGATGGTGATGATGGTGGTGGTGATGATAGTGGTGATGATGGCGGTGGTGATGATGATGGTGATGATGGTGATGGTGATGATTACGATGATGGTTTTGCTTCTGATGTTGGTGATGATGGTGATGGCGATGTTAATGATGATGGCGCTAACGATGATGACGGTGATGATGATACTGGCCATGAAGACGATGGTGGTGATGATGCTGGCGATGCTGATGCTGACATGGTGCTGATGTGTTGATGATGATAATGGTGGTAATGATGATGATGGTGATGGTTACGATGAAGGCGACGATGACGCTGCTGATGATGATGATAACATTGGTGTCAATGATGCCGATTATGATGATGTTGATGATGGTTTGAATAGTTTGGATGCTGATGGTGATGGGTATGTTCATGGCAACGATGACGATGATGATTGCGATGATGATGATGGCGGTGATGGTGAACATGATGATGGTGGTGATGATGGTGATGATGGTGGCGGTGATGATAGTGGTGATGATGGCTGTGGTGATGATGATGGTGATGATGGTGATGGCGATGATGGTGATGATGATGATAGTGGCGATAATGATGATGAGGATGATGACGATGATGATGATGGCGATAATTCTGGTGATCGCGATGGTGATGGCGACGATGGTGATGATGTTGGTGGTGATGATAGCACTGATGGTGATGATAACGATGATGATGATCCTGATGATGGTGAATCTGGTGTTGGTGAAGGTGGTGATGATGATGGTGATGGTGGTAATGATGATAGTGACGGTGATGACGGTGATGGTGATGACGACGATGGTGATGGTGATGATGGAAGTGGAGATGAAAACGGTGATGTTGATGACAATGATGATGATGATGGTGGTGATGATGCTGGTGATGATGGCGATGAGAGATGTAATAATGAAGATGGTCCATTGTGAAGGCGATGATGTCGACGGCGATGACGATGATAACGATGATGATGGTAATTCTGATGATGGTCGTGATGCTGACGACGATTATGATGGTGATGATGACTATGATGATGGTGAGTGTGACAATACGAATGGTGCATGACGATGATGACGATGTTGACGGGGATGGTAACAATGGTGGCGGCGATGATGATGACGATGCTACCATAAGATGATGATGATGAAGATGATGATGATGATGATGGTGCTGATGCTGTTGATGCCGATGACAACGATGATGGAGATGCGGATGATAGCGATGGCGGTGGTGATGATAACGATGATGGTGATGGTGAAGATGATGACGATGATGGTGGTGAGGATGGTGGTGGTGATGGTGACGGTAATGATGACGATTATTGGGATGATGGCGATGATGGTGGTGACGGTGATGGTGAGGCTATTCATGATGATGGTGGTGATGACGGTGTCAATGATGATCATTGTGGTGGTGGCGGTAATGATGGTGGTGATGATGGTGACATTGATGGGGATAATGATGGCGATGATGGCGGCGATGATGATGACGGTGGTGATGATGATGACGGTGATGATTGTGATGCTGGCGGCGATGATAATGTTGATGATGATAACGTTATACAAGAGATGATGATGGTGCTGATGATGGTAAATGTAGCTGTGCTGATGGTGATGATGATCATGGTGGTGGCAATCACGATGGTGATGGGAATGATGATGATGGCGATGCTGATGATGATCACGGCGATGATAATGGTTATGCCGGTGATGATGTTGACGATGATGGTGATGATGGTGAGGATGACGACGATGGTGATCCTAATGTGGGTGGTGATGATGGTGATGGTGATGACGATGATGATGATGGTGGTGGTGCTGATGATAGTGGTGATGGTGATGGTGGTGAAGATGATGGTGATGATGATGGCGATGATGGTGATGATGATGGTGATGATGATGATGGAGACGATGACGATGATGATTTTGGTGATCATGCTGATGATGGCGACGATGGTAATGATGTTGATGATGCTGATGTCAGTGATGGCGGTGTGAACGATCGTGATGATGGTGATTATGGTTTCGGTGCTGGTGATGATGATGAAGGCGACAATGACAATGATGATGTCGATCATGCTGGCGATGATGGTAATGATGACGGTGACGATGATAACAATGATGGTGATGACGATGATGGTGATGGTGGGGATGAGAAAGGTGATGATGACGATGATGATGATGATGGTAAGTTTGGTGATGGTGCTGGTGGTGATGACGATGATGATGATAATTGCAATAATAATGCTGGTCCATGGTGAGGGCGATGAGACCGACGGCGATAACGATGACAACGACTATGATGGTAATTCTGATGATGGTCGTGATGCTGATGGTGCTGATGATGACGACGATTATGACGGTGATGATGACGATGATGAAGATGGTGGTGATTGTGTCAATGTTGATGGTGCATGACGACGATGACGATGTTGGCAGGGATGATGACAATGGTGACGGTGATGATAATAATGATGGCAGAATATGATGATGCTGATGCTGACGATAACGACGACGATGGCGATGCGGATGATAGCGATGACGGTGGTGGTGATGACTATGATGGTGATGGCGATGATGATGGTGACGATGATGGCGGTGAGGATGGTGGTGGTGAGAATGGTGATGGTAATGATGACGATGATGGTGATGATGGCGATGCTGGTGGTGATGGTGAAGGTGATGATGATGATGGTGATGGCGGTGTCAATGATGATCATGGTGGTGATGGCGGTGCTGATGGTGGTGATGATGGTGACATTGACGGGGATAATGATGGCGATCATGGCGATGATGATGACGGCGGTGATGATGATAACGGTGATGATGGTGATGCTGGCGGCGATGATGATATTGATGATGATAATATTAAACAAGATACGATGCTGGTGCTGATGATGGTGAATATGGTTTTGATGGTGGTGATGATGATGACGGTGATGGTAATGACGATGCTCATGGTGATGGTGATGATGGCAATGCTGATGATGATAACGGCGATTATAATGGCTATGCCGGTGATGATGGTGACGATGATGGTGATGATGCTGATGGTGATGATGACGACGATGGTGATCATTACAAGGGTGGTGATGATGCTGATGATGATGGTGCTGGTGATGATACCGATTACGGTGATGATGCTGAAGATGATGGTGATGATGGTGATGCTGATGTACGTGGTGATGATCATGACGATGATAAAGACAGGCGGTGCAGACGATGGTGATTCTGGTGAGGATGCTGGCGATAATGCTAATGATGGCGATGACGGTGGTACTGCTGATGAAGGGTGTGCTGGTGATGCTGATGGTGATAATGATGATGGTGATGATGGTGGCCACGATCATGCGGATGTATATGATAATGATCAGAATGATGACGATGACGACGATGACGACAACGATGCTGATGATGGCAAAGATGGTGATGATGGTGACGACGGTGAAGATGATGATGATGATGATGATGACAGTGGTGGTGGTGGCGATGACGTTTATGATGGCTATGAGGATGATGACAGTGAGGATACTGATGCTGATGGTGGTGGCGACGGCGATGACAGTGGTGATGAGGATGATGGTGGTGATGCTGATGGTGATGTTGGAAGTGATGAAGGTGATGACGCTTATGGTTATGGTAATGCTGGTGGTGATGATAACTGTGATAATGAAGATGGAGATGATGATGGTAAATATAAAACATGATGATACTGGGGAAGATGATGGTCAAGCTGATGATGGTGGTGATGAGCATGACAATTATGATGATGGTGCTGATGACTATGGTGATCACAGCTGATGTGACGACGATGCTGAGAATAGCGGTGTTGGTGGTAATGATGCCGATGTTGTAGATGATGATGGTGATGATGATGGTGATGATGGAGATGATGGTGATGGCGACAATGGTGCAGATGCCGATGATGCGAACAAGGATCACGATGA